TTCATAGAATTTTTAATATATATATTTATATTTATATATTAGTTATACGCAAAGTTTATATGAAAAAATTTATAATTATCATAAATCACATAATGGATCTTTTGATCTCGCATTAGATGTAGGAACTGGTACAGGACAAGCCGCAAATGTTTTATCGGATTCATTCAATAAAGTTTATGGTATTGATTTATCACCAGTGATGTTACAAAATGCAATTTGTAAACCAAATATCCAATATTTAGTTGGAAGGGGTGACGATTTATCTTATTTTAAAGATTCTTCAATTGATTTATTAACTGTAGCTGGGGCTTTTCATTGGATTGATTTAAAACAAAATTTTTTTCAAGAATCTCATCGTGTGTTGAAACCAAATGGAACCTTAGCCATTTGGGCTTATAAATCTGATTTTTTAAAAAATGTGCCTATTGCAACTAAATTGTCAGGAGACTTTCGTTTTAATCTTATGGGCCCTTATTTTGATAAAGGTGTAGATACAATCAATAATTTATATAAAGATATTAAATTTCCTGAAGAATTCTATCAAAACGTTCAACGGGAAATACATGATGAAGAAAATAATGATGATAAAAGTCAGCATATTGGAATCTTTCTCAATATGGAAATTATTTGAGAGTAAGTTTTTTTTTTTTAGAAAAATAAATTTAAATATAGTTAATTAAAATGCATTTATTTATTTTTATTTAAAAGACAATGAGTGGTTATGCAAATTATTTGGAGAAAAATCCAAATGCAGAAGATCCTGTCGATGAACTAATTTCTAATATAAAAGAAGCTGAAGGTTGGAATGATGATGAATTGTTGCCAATATCTTTTTGTAGTGTATTGATTTTAGCTGAAAAGAAGCCATGATTATAAATTCATTTAAAATATTAAAAGTATTTAAATAAGAAGTTCCTGTTAGTAGTGGTATCGTTAGTTGAAAAGCACTAGTTGATAACCAACCAACTAATCAATTATAAAATTTTGTTAACTATAGTTAGGGCTACTAATTTACCTGTTTAATTGATTAAATGCAGTGTATAAGTTAACATTATTTTGGTTTCTAATAAAGATTTTAATGATAACAACATTAAATTAATATATCTGCATTATTATTAAAAATATCATAATTTTGGATGGTGAATAACTTTTGACCTCTATAAATGCACCTTTTCTTATTATTCTCTAAATGCACGTTATTAAAATGCGGTTTCAAGATCGTGCACTAAGAAGTCTGACTGTATTTGGGCCATAATTTGAGTGTGCATTTAGAGAGGATGTGCACTTATAGAGGGTGCACTTAAAGAGGTCTGACTGTATTAATAATGATTACGTGTCGACCACATGACGCATATATTAAACTGAACCCCAAATCGAATAAAACTAATAGTTTATCGCGTCAAACTTATCCCCCACCAGGCTAAAACGATATATAGTAAATGCCGGCCATCCAAAGTGTCGTTCTTGATGCATAATTATTGCGATCAAAGAACAATAATAATCTATTAGCTATCCAATGTTATTGTTTTTGTTTTTGTTAATAATATATTACTTTCGATTTAGATAGATCAAAAACGATATTTTGGATGACCGGCATTTAATATATGTCGTTTTAGCCGTGTCCCCACTTTAAAACCAGGGGTACCGAAAATTCAATTGCAATTAAATTATTACCGTACAGCTGCATACAGTACCCCTGGTCTTTTTCAGAAATGCCAAGATAAATTAAATAATACCCCCGGGGGTACTGTGTGAAGAGGAGGGTACTATACGAGGGGGTACTTTGAAGAGAATATTGATCATGTGGTTAATCATATAACAATATCATTGATTCGGATCATAAACGTCAAATAGTTAATTGCATGACAATAGTAAAAATGAGTTATTTTGTTATTTTGTTAAATAAATCAGTAACGGTTTATGATTGAACTTTACATAAACATATTAAATGGGTTTACAAGCAAACAAATGAACAAATCATGCTACAATTACAGGAAAAGCGCGGAGAGAGATAGTGGAATGTACGGGAAAAAATTGCCATTATTTCATATTATGAAAGTGGTTATTGCAAGAATCGAACAGCGGCTAAATTTAATATTGAGACAAAGCAACTTCGAGTCTGGTTATCCAAGAAGTCACTATTTTTAAAAGCACAACTACCGTAATGTATGGGATGATTAATAATCAAATATGACCGTAAAATTAGAAAGTGCGATTGTTTTTTTTTTAAAAAAAAAAACCATAGATGCAATAAAGGTGATAAAAAAAATATATATTAAATATGTATATCAATAAAGTAATATTTTTATAAATTATAGTAGGGATATCGAATTTGTGTCATAATATTGACTATTCAATTGGTTACAACAGCAGAGACAGTGCCCGATCCAGAGTGAATCCCTCTCTCCTGTGATCAATCACAAATTAAATTATTTATATTGGATTCAATTGTGATGGATATAATCCCTCACCAGTTTTAATATTTGTGTAACATTAACGGTCTCTGCTGTTATTGGTTACTTGATTAGTATCGGGATATTTTACAATAATGTCAAATTTTACAATTGAATAGTACCCAGGGCGTAAAATACCAACTCATTTACCGGCCACGCAGCCCATTGTTTCAAGTGTCTTTTTTGATACATTAGAATAATTAAAATAATTTGAATCAAGAACGATATTTTTGAATGACCGGTAAATAAGTTGGTATTTTACGCCCTGATAGTACCCGATACTATTTAAAGGGGATACTTTTCCAGAGGGTACTGTATGCAGCGCTATACGGTACACTTACAGATAAACAATTGCAAAACAATTATCATCGGTCTTCAATCAATGTGCTAAGGTATCAAGTGTCCGTGTGTTCGTGTGTTCACCAAAAAAAAAAATTTATTTACCATTTCAACCATTTCGAAAACATCGATAATAGCAATTTTTACATATTATTACTGTTTTCGAAATGGTTGAAATCAGAGATAAAAGTTTCGCGTATACCTGACTTTGTATACTCGTATACTGGATTACCTAGGTACAGTACGTGCGTAATATATGATTTGAATTGACAATGATGTATATGCAATTGACAATTGTATAATTTTGACGTGACAAAAATTGCATTCTATTTTTTTTATGTAGCAGAATTATCGCAGAAATTAATTTTCACAGAAAATCATCGTCCTTGGTCATAAGGCCAGAACCTGTAATTAACTAATCATGCGGGCGAATAGAAGGGGTACCAGAACACTGTCAACCTAATTAATTGACCAATTGTAGCTGCGCCACCAATCAATTGAGGTCAAATAATTGCAATTAATTTCACGTTAAATAATTGCAATTAATTAATTTCACATTAATTGAGATTAAATAATTGCAATTAATTTCACATTAATTGAGGTTAAATAATTGCAATTAATTTCACATTAATTGAGGTTAAATAATTGCAATTAATTTCACATTGAGGTCAAATAATTGCAATTAATTAATTTCACATTAAATAATTGCAATTAATTTCACAATCAATTATTCGGTAGCCCTGCTTAAAACCCATCTCCTATCGTTATAAAATTTATTTTAAAATCGATCTATTGATGATACATCTCTTAACGTCGAATATATATGTCTTAAAATTTAAATGCGGAGTTTTTTAGGGTTAATGTGGGTGCCTATATTGGACATTAATCTCTGATGCAGATTATAATTTGACGCACAACATATACACGTTGATGAATATCGATGGCAAATGTACAGACGTGTGCGTTAGACGCTGTATCGTAGTGTAAAAATGCGCTGTAAAACATCGTATAAAAATGAGCATAGCGGGCTTTCATTGTAATTGGCAGATTTTTGTAGATCATCCCGTGATATTGCAAAAATATCATTGGTTA